CCCGCCACGCCGCCCACAGCCGCAGCCGCAGCCGCGAGCACCTGCGCTCACGCAGCCCCAGCCCTGAGCCCAGGGGGCGGCCTGGGCACACAGGCCAGCCCGACCCGGACAGGCCCATCGGGGTCCTTCTGACCAAAAGCAGGGCCAGCGAAGGTAGGCATGCCTGGCGACGAGCAGAGCACCGTCCAGGTGGCAGGAGGGACTTGGAGCACGCAGCCTGTGCCCTGCCCTGACCACTTACCGCCTTCATCCTCACGTCCACCCCTGGGGGCAGCTGCCCTTTTAGTTAAAGTGTTCTTTCATTTATTTTTCTTTCCTTCTTCCATGAGCAGAGAGAGAGAGCAACCCCATCCAATAGGGTCTTTTATCTTTTTTTTTTTTTAAATATCTTTTCCCCTCCTATTCTCTTTTCCTTCCTGTCTTTCTCTTTTGGCTGTAGGGTGTGTGTGCTCTCCAGAGAGAAAGAAAGAGGGCAAGTGAGAAGTAAGTCCCCCAGGGGAAATGACCACATCACAGCCCCTTCTCCATTCTTTTGGGATTTGGGGGCTGCTCTCACACCTGATGAGTTTTTCAAGCCACTGGGTCCAGTATTCAAAGGGCAAAGGTGGCCACGAGGGACCCAGCTGCCTTAACCACTGCCATCTGACTGGCTGGCCCTCCAGTAGAGTCTTGGTGCCCCATCTGCACCAGGTTGAGCTAGTCCCGAATCCTGGGCACACGAGCTCCCTGCACGCTCAGACAGTACTCAAGGAGATTCCATTCAGAACCAGAACCTTCCCATGGGGTCAGCCTCGGAGGCATTTTACTACTGTACCACCACCCCCGCCTCCTTGTTTTCGGGGAGCTGCTCTTAGTTCATTTTATCAACAAAGAAATGGAGGCACAGAACGTTCAGTGTGTTCTGCAAGTGGCAGAGCCAGGCTTCCGAACTTGACATTAATTCTTGTCTTCTGAGTGTTAAAATTCCTCGAAACATATCTTTAAAATCATCATTATTATCTTTTTAAGAGGGGGAAAAAAAAAGATACAGCCCCCAAGAATACAAAGTAAAGAACTCTTTTGCCTTTCAAATCACCTATCGGGTGAGAGGGTTTGTTTTCTTTAGTTTCTCCGTCAGAGCGGAGTCAGATCTCGGTGCCTGTGGACATAACCGAGGGCTGATGCAAGCCGGTGAGTAATGGATACCTGGAGTGCAATCCAGGAAAGTAAAGGTGGACGTTAAGATCATGCCGTCACGCTGTCTCTGAGCAATGTGCAGCTCGGGAGGCATCAGGGTTCCACAGAATTTGTAAACCTGGGAGCAGCAGTTAGCGTAATGGCTATGTCGCTGGACTCCCACGTAGTCGACCGCAGTTTGCGTCCCGGACCCGGTGGCTTAAACTCACGCCAGGTGTGTGTGCGTGTGTGCCCAAGATCTTGAGAGGAGAATGGAGGAGAAGGGATTGCGGTGTGGCCATCCCTCCTGGGGGGTGATTTCTCGCTTTCTGTCTCTATGTCTCTCTCTGTCTGTCTGGCGAGCGCACGCGCCCTATAGCGAAAACCTCTCCAAAAAATAAAAAAAGAAAGAAAGACTATAGGGAAGTTTTGAGAATGATAATGTGGCACACGGCCTTCTTCAGAGAGGTTTGATGCCCACTCTCCAGCACAGGCGCCCACACTCTGGTGTTACCTTGGGCACTGCTTTTTAAACCTGTCCTCTTGCTCTTTCTGCCCCTTTCCCTTCCTGTCTTTGCCCCTTCTCCTACTACAAACACAACCAGATCTTGTGCATCAGGGATGCACCTGCATATCAGAAAACCAAGCTAACTTTTTCATGGACCAGTATACAAGTGTGATACACCTTGATAACTTACAAAATTATTTTAAATTAAAAAATGCTGGTTATAGCTCAGTAATTGGTTTTAAAAACGTTCTATTGTTGGGGCCAGCAAGCAATGTGGTGGTTAAGGCACTGTACTCCCACATGGCCGACCATGATTCCAGTCCCAGACCTGGTGAGTTGCTTTCTCATTTTCCCTCTTTCTTTATCTCTCTCTCTCTCTGGTGAGCACATGTGCCCGATAGCAAACTTGAAAATAATCCGTAATATGGGACCAGCAGGTGGCATGGTGGTTAAGGCGCTGGACATGGCTGACCATGGTTCGAGACCTGGACCTGGTGGCTTGCTTTCTCACTTTCCCTCTTTCTCTCTGTGCCTCTCTCTGGTCAAGTTAAAAAATGAGTGAATAAATAAAATGAAATAATTTTTTTAAAAAAGAAAATTATCTATAATAACATAAAATTAATAATTTTAAAAAGGGAAAAAAATCCTAATGTTTTGTGACCTACAACTTACAAAGATACTGTTGGGGCCAGCAGGTGTTGCGGTGGTTCAGGTGCTCCCAGATGGCTGACCCCAGGTCAAGTCCCACACATGGTGGCTTGAACATAACACTGGGTCTGTGTGCGTGTATGCCCAAAATCCCAGGAGGAATGTGGAGGAGAAGGGACTGCGGTGTGGCTATCCCCCTTAAGGGGAGATTTCTCACTTTCTATCTCTCTGTCTCTCCTGCACATACGTTCTATGGCAAAAACCTAAAACAAAGTGAAACAAAAAGAACAACAACAAAAAGCCAAACTATTTTCCCTGAGAGATTGCCCAAGTCATGATTGGTCTTAGTAAGTTAAGGGGTAAGGGGCTTCTGTTCATTTGCTGATTCATCATTTTACTTTGTTGACCATTTTGTTCACCAGACTTGGAAATCATTCATCAAGCCAAAAAGTCTACCGTGTTTTTTTTTTTTTTTTAATAGTCACTAGAGGGCATGTGCACTCTCTAGAGAGAGAAGGGGGGAGTGGGGAGAACACACCTTAAGGAGGCATGGTCACAGTACAATCCCTTTCTTCTTTTTCTTCTTCCTGTTGGGATTGGGGCATATAGACCCACATGCCTGGTGGGTTTTATTTTTAGGGTGGGGGATAGGTTTTTGCTATAGGGTGCATGTGCTTGCTAGAAAGACAGAAAGCAAGAAATCACCCCCCAGAGGGGATGGCCACGCCGCAATACCCTCTCCTACATTCTCCTATCAAGATCTTGGGCATGCACGCACACGTGCCTGGCATGAGTTTAAGCACCAGGTCCGGGACTCTTAACTGCTTTCGTCTACATGAGAGTCAAGCGACATAGCCATTACACCAACTGCCGGTCCCTGCCTGGTGTGTTTTTTAAACTGCCATGGCCCAGAATCAAACTGAGCAGTTGACCATGTGGGATCTGGCTCCCCCAAGCTCCAGGCCATGGAACCTGTTTTTTTAAAGCAAGGTCTGGCTCTGTTGAGATCCTCCTGTCTCAGCTTCGCACTGGCACTATGGACACACGCCAGCATGCCTAGCTATTTTTTAGACAGGCTCTCCCTGTGTTGCCAAGGCCATCCTCGAACTTGCGATCTTCCTGCCTGAGCCCCACACGTTGCTGGGACAATGGAAGCACACCACTCCTGAACTGGCCTCGAGGTTGGACTGGAATTGACCTTAGCTTCCCAGGTGGTCCCAGCCTGCAGAGCTCAGCATCCTGGCAGCATTTACCACTGTACTGGGCCAGTTCCACTTCATTCAGAAGAAAAATGTATGCCAGTAACTAAGCTGGCACCAGCTAGGATTGCATAAGAATTAATCCTCAAAGAATTCCGACAGTAGGCAAGACCTGCATTTGATAAAGAAAAAATATGATCCCTTTGTGTGGCCAGTTGTTGCATTTCATGGGCATTAGATTGCCTTGCTTGTACATGTCTAAGAGCTGGTTGGCTGATTTTTTTCCCTTTCGTTTTAGAAATGCTCACACATACTCGTGGGGTTGGCAGGTGGTGTGGTGTGGTGGTTAATGCGCTGGACTCCCACGTGGCTGACCATGGTTCGAGTCCCAGACCTGGAGGCTTGCTTTCCTACTTTCCCTTTCTCTTTATCTCTCCCTGGTTAAATTAAACAAAGAATAACGATGACAATAAATGAAATAGAGTAATTCTTTAAAAAAAAAAAAAAAAAAAGAAATGTCCACACATTCTCAGTTTGCAAACTGAGAAGTGCAGTTTTTAGAGAACAGAGGAATTGATGGTCCAGGAGAAAGAAGTTATCTCTGGGACTTGTCTCAACCTGGGCTGTGAGGTCATTTGAACTATAGGGCGTCAGTTGTCCAGGAAGACAGTGGCACTTTTACCTCAGTTTTTCTTAACTGGCATTTCCTAAAAGGGTGGGAAATGGACCGGGACACTTTTAATCATTGTGTTAAGATCTAGTGCTAACAAGTTTACTGTAAATCTTTTAAAACAGTTTAAAAACTAACTTTCTTGAACTGTGGGAAGTTACTTTGTTTAATAATTATACCATTTTCAGTCAGGTTAATAATAAAACAAATTTGAATGTGCCCATTTGAAAACCTGTGAGAGGGTCAGCAGGTGGCATGGAGGTTAAGGCAGCTGGATCCCACATGGCTGACTGCACAGTTCAAATCTCAGATCTGGTGGCTTAATAAATAGGCCAGGTGCATGTGTGTACTTACCCAAAATCCCAACAGGACAGTGAGGAGAAGAGATTATGATGTGGCCATCCCCCTTGGGGGAGTGACTCCCACTCCCCACCCCTAGTGCATGTGCTCTATAGCAAAGAAAGAAAGAAAATAAATTCATCCTTCCATATGTGTTTTTATGGGTTCAATAAGTAACATTAAAATAGTCTTAAAAGCATGTGAAATATTTTAAGGTATGCATACTTGGTGAATATAGTTATTTTCCTTTGGTAGCAATTCTGAGTCTGTAACTTTGCAAAGCTGTGCTGCTTTTAGTTACGTCTGTTACTAATCACTTTGCCTGACTTGTTTGCCCATCTTTTTCCCAGGCTGATTTCTCTGTGTCAGACTCCCCACAATCTAAATGTTACAGATAAAGGGTGTATTATTTGCTGTCCCTTCCTGTCCGCAACCTCCTTATCAGTAAAACATGCCTATTAAGATGTACTGAATGGTTTTTTCTAACATTTTATTTGAAAAGTGTCGATTTTATAGCAAACATTCAAATGGCCTTCACCTGCGTGTACCAATTGTTAACGTTTTGCCACATTTACTTGCTTTCACTTTGCTCCTCTCTCCAGTGTTGTTGTTGTTGTTTTAAATCACTTGAAAAATGCAGGCAACTTAACCTGTCAGCCCCAAATATCTCCCAAGGACAAAAATATTTTCTTCCATCACCATAGTGCCATTGTCACACTCAAGAAAATTAACATTGATGTGCCTTTAATATAGTAGAGCTCATTCTGAAATGCCTCGAAAAAAGGGGCCAGCCTGAGGCCTAGTGGGTAAGGCCGCTGGATCTCACATGGTTGACTCCAGTTTGAGTCCTAGACCAATGACTTGAAAGACATGCTGGGCGTGTCCGTGTAAATGCCCAGAATCCCAGAAGAAGGGAGACATAGAGACGGGATTGCATATAGCCCATGGGGGTGCTTTCTTCCTGTCCCTTCTGTCTCTCTCTGATGAGTGCACATGTTCTCTGACAAAATTTTTAAAAAAGGATGGCCAGCCAGTGGTGTGGTAGTTAGATCCCATATGGATGACTACGCAGTTTGAGTCCCAGACCTGGAAGCTTGAAAAACACGCTGGGCATGGGTGCATGTGTGCCCCAAATCCCCCAGAAAAGGGGAGAAGTGGAGGAGAAAGGATTGTGGCATGACAATCCCCCATGAGGGGTGCTTTCTCACTTTCCCTTTATCTCTCCTCCCCTCCTCCTCCCCTCAAGTATATACACCCTCTGGCAAATTAAGAAAAAAAGAAAAAAGGAAGAAAAATTACTTCAAAACAGTGTAACCCAACTCCATCTCCAAACCCCACGTTGGATCGAGGATCTGTTGGAGGTTCACTCCTTGCATTGGGTTCTTATGTCTTTTAATATAGAACAGTCTCTGCTTCTTTATTTTGATTTTAAGTTTTTTAAAATTTATTTCTTTCATGATAGACAACAAGATGGGAAGGGATGCAGAAGGCATCCCCAGCAGGGTTTTCACACCATGATTCACCCCAGTCTCAGCTTGTGTTGATCATGGGCATAGACACATGTATGCATGTGTGATGTACACGGAGGGTCACAAGACATGAACCCTGGCCCTTCCCATGTGGGTCCTGTTGCATTATTGCTACTCTACTGCCTGACCCTCCCATCCCCCCTCTTTTTTTTTATAACATTGACGTTTTCTGAGAGAGAGACTTTTCCTATAGAGTGTGTGCACTCGCCACAGAGACAGACAGAAAGCGAGAAATCACCATCACTCCTCGCCCCAGAGGAGATGGCCATGCCACAATCCTTTCTCCTCCATTATCCTCTTGGGATTTTGGGCACACACTCAACATGTGCCCAGCATGAGTTTTAAGCTACCGGGTCTGGGATTTGAACTGCAGTCGACTATGTGGGAGTCCAGCAACGTAACCCTTATGCAATCTGACTATTTTGGTCAGGCCAGTTGTCTTGTAGAATATCCATGATTGATTTTTCATAGAATTTTTAAGTGATCCTAAAAACACAGAGTTTTCTGAACAAGTAAATGATACATGTGTATGTTTTTGTGTTTGTCTCCTAGAATATGGTCTCCGGCTGGGGAGTCAGATCTTCATAAAAGAAATGACTAGAACAGGTCTGGCTACCAAGGATGGCAACCTTCATGAAGGGGACATAATTCTCAAGGTAGGTGGGTGAGGTAGAGGACGGTACACGGGGCTGGTGCTCCACTGATACACTTGCACGCTCAGGCACCGGCACCATGAGACTTAGCTGCCATGGGAGGCCAGAGTAAGGCGGCGGCTGGAAAAGTGGCCTGGAGAGATGTTGTTAATCATAAAACCCAGAGTTGAAGATTTGTAAGACTTTTTTTTTTCTTTTTTTTTAATACTTGATGAATACTTTCTTCTTCCCTATTTTTTTTTAAAGTTTAGGTTCCTGGTCCCTAAACTAAGGAAAGTTGAGAGGTGGTATGTGATAAACCTTTCCAGTCAGGAAACACATTCCAGAAGTAAACCACACCTTGTCTTGATCTTGGAATGAAATAAATTAGCAGAGTGATTTAAGTACACTATGGCTCCCTCATCCCTTCATTGGGAATCCAGGCCTATAATGTTACATTGAACTTAAAGGATAATTATTTTTATTCATCCAGTCACCCTAAGGCCCATGTCTATTTGAATACCTAAGCAAAGGTTTTATATTATTTATTTATCTTTTTATAGATAGATTTTTGTTCTAGGGCATGTGCACTTGCCAGAGAGACAGAAAGCGAGAAGTCATCTCCCAGGGGAGATAGCCATGCTATTATCCCTTTTTCTCCATTCTCCTCTTGGGATTTTGGGCATGTAAGCACATACACCTGGAATGAGTTTCAAGCCTCCAGATCCAGGACTTGAACCACGATCACCATGGGGGAGTCCAGCAATGTAACCACTGTCCCATCTGCTGGTCCCAACGCTTTGTATTTTTAGAAGGGGAAGATGGGAAATTTTTACTTGGCTGTGAATAGTTGCATTGTGTGTAACATTACCATTCTTCCTAAATGCAGATCAATGGAACTGTAACAGAGAACATGTCTTTAACGGATGCTCGAAAGTTGATAGAAAAGTCCAGAGGGAAGCTCCAGCTAGTGGTGTTGAGAGACAGCAAGCAGACCCTCATTAATATCCCTTCCTTAAACGACAGCGACTCGGAAATAGAAGGTAAAGGGAGCCGGGCTGAATCAGGGCCACTGTAGTTTCTGTATTCTCGTCTCTGTTTGGCACAGCCACCGAGCTGGAAGTTAAATTTCCAACCAAAGCCTCCTTTTTCAACTTTAATTCCAGAGTGTAAGTGTTTAGTAGTTATTCAAGTGTCTGTTGAAATTAGGTTTCCAGAAATTCCAGTGCTTGTAAACTCCCAGAGGACTATTAATTAGGGCACTGAAAGTAAAATTTGGTTTTAAAAAAAGTATGTATAAGTGGTTTAAGGAACTAACCATATAATCTATAAGTTTGCTATTTGCTCATTCTTGTGTGCGTTTTTTTGTTTGTTTGTTTGTTATTTCCCACAGACAGCATGAAAGCTTACCACAGAGAGAGAAAGGGAGAGGGAGAGGGAGGAAGCACCCACCAGTGGGGTCTGTTCACACTGTAGTCCCTTCTCCATTTCCCCGTCCTGCAGGGAATTAGGGTATGCACACATACATGCCCAGCATGGCTGAGATTTAAACTGTGGATGGCCACATAAGATTTGGCTTTCTTAACCACTAGGCCACAGGGCTGACCTTCTCATGTGGTATCTGAAAACTGGCTGTTAGGGGCCATCTGGTGGCATGGTGGTTCAGACAGCTGGATCCTGCATGGCCTAACTATGCAGTTCGAGTCCTGGACCTGGAGGCTGGAAAAACATGCTGGGCATGTGTCCATGTGTGCCCCAAATCCCAAAAGGAGCAAGAAATGGAAGTATTATTTAATTTATTTATTTTATACTAATAAAATGAAATGAAATGTCAAGGTTTTTTAAAGAAATACTTTTTAAGAAGTCATATTGACTTCAGCATGATTATTTTTTTTTGGGAGAGGTTTTTGCTGTAGGGCACATGTGTTCACTAAAAAGACAGAGAGAGACAGAGAGACAGAAAGTGAGAAATCACCCCCAGGGAGCATGGCAATGATGCAATCCCTTCTCCATTCTCCTGTAGGAATCTTGGGCACGCATGCACACGTGCCCGGCATGAGTTTAAGCCACTGGGTTTGGGACTCGAACCGCCGTTAACTACATGGGAGTCCAGCAACGTAGCCATTATGCCAACTGTTGGTCCCTCAACATGACTTCTTAAAAAGTCACCATGACTTTTTAAAAAGTATTTCTTTATAAAACCTTAAAACTTCATTTTGTTTTGTTAGTATATTAAAGGTCTAATCAGTTGTTCACGGCTATGGGTTCAGTGCAGAAAAACAAAAGGAGCACGGGAAATAATCCCAGCATGGTAGGAGTTTACATGTTTACAGTTCGTTTCTGGGCTGCTCAGAGTTGGTCCTCAGCCCCTCAGTGTAGGGTCAGGTCACCTGGAAGCATGTGTGCTAATGAGATCCCCAGGTGGTTTCTATGTACTTTGGAGTTTGCGTAGTGCTGGTATGTTTGGTAAGAATGAGTGTGTACCTCTTTGATCCAGTACCTGAATTATTTTGAAGTTTATTTATATTTATTTCTTCTATGCATGAGGGAGAGGACAGAGACAGAAATAGCACCCGACAGTGTCTTGATGCATTGACCCACCCCCAAACAGCCTCAGCCAGCCCCAAGTGCTGGGCATGTACACGCCCAGCATACTACAAGGGAGGTATCAGGACACGAACTTGGAACTTTCCCACATGAGTCAGCCTTGCAGAGCATTGGGTTTTATCCCTGTGCCACCATCCAGCGTCCCCGTAATTGAGTTTACTCTTCAATAGCAGCTTTATGGAAAGTGGGATGAATGAGAGATAGGCAATTCTGAATGTGGCTTTCTCTTTATTAGTTAATGCCTTTCCCTTAAAAAGGTTTTTTCCAGGGGAAAGCCATTAGACTGATCGCACATTTCCTGCCTGCCTTTCTTCCGTTGCCCACGTTTCCTACCCAGAGAACAGCATCATTTCTAGTACGTCTTAAATATTTACTGAACTGTCTTTTCTCATTCTGGAACCAGATATCTCAGAAATAGAATCAAACCGGTCGTTTTCTCCGGAGGAACGACGCCAGCAGCATTCCGATTATGATTATCATTCTTCAAATGAGAAGCTGAAGGAAAGGCCCAGGTGAGCCGGCATGCGTTTTCCCTCACACATGACACTGTGCGTGTGTACACGCGTGTATTTACGAGTCCATGACCTCATGAGACACTAACTTGCCCTGTGCTTAAGTTCAAGAGAGGACACGCCGAGCAGATTATCCAGGATGGGGGCCATACCCACTGCGTTTAAGTCCACAGGGGACATTGCCACGGCAGTGGTCACAGAGTCCAATAAGGAGCCCAGATACCAAGAGGAATCCCTAGGTGAGTGCTTCAAGCCACCCTTTTTTTTCTTTTCTTTCCTTTTTTAAAAGAGATTTTTGCTATAGGGTGTGTGCACTTGCCAGAGAGACAGAGGGAGACAGAAAGTGAGAAATCAGCCCCTGGGGGCATGGCTATTCCACAATCCCTTCTCCATTCTCCTCTTGGGATTTTGGGTGCTCACACACACACATCTGCATGAGTTTTAAGCAGCCAAGTCTGGGACTTGAACTGCGGTTGACTACATGGAAGTCCAGCGATGTAACCATTATGCCATCTGCTGGTCCCCGTCCTTTTCTTTTTTTAATAGTTGTGTGCTTGCTAATTCTAGAGATTGGCTGGAAGGAGAGAGAGGAATTATTTTAAAAGACAGCCTCATATATGAAAGAGACTCTCCTGTCTCTTTTAACATATAAAAACATCAGTAACATATGCAAATGTGTTTTATTCCATAGCTCCTCAACCCAAAGCAGCCCCAAGAACTTTTCTTCGTCCTAGTCCTGAAGATGAAGCAATATATGGGTGTGTATTTCAGTCCCTTCTTTTCCTTTCTTCTGCACAGCTTTGTTTGCTTAACTGAAATCCAAAGGATGGTGTTTTTTTTTTTTTTTCTTACAGGTGGCTATTTTACCTCTAATCAGTCCCCTTTAGCCAACCCCTGTTGCTTATGTTTATGACAGGAGGGATTACTTGGAGGAACAGGGAGCAGACTTGGAAGGGGGCAGGCTTTGTGATGTTAACTGTGTCTGCTTGTCTACCTATCTGGTTATTTATTTATTTATTTTTTAAGATTACTTAATTTGGGGACCAGCAGTTAGCGTAATGGCTATGTCGCTGGACTCCCACGTAGTCGACCGTGGTTCGCGTCCCAGACCCAGTGGCTTAAAACTCACGCTGGGTGCGTGTGAGTGTGTGCCCAAGATCCCGAGAGGAGAATGGAGGAGAAGGGATTGTGGCGTGGCCATCCCCCCTGGGGGGTGATTTCTCGCTTTCTGTCTCTGTTTGTCTGGCAAGCGCATGTGCCCTATAGCGAAAAAACCTCTCCCCCCCCAAAAAAAAATCAATGTTAGAAGATAAAATTCACATAGCATTTTTTTTTTTTTTTTTTTTTTTTTTGAATTGGCTATAGGGCATGTGCACGAGAGTGAGAGAAGAGAGAGAGAGAGAAAGCCATCAGGTCTGGGACTCCAACTGCAGCCAGCTTTGTGGGAGTCCAGCACCCTTACCACCACATCACCTGCTGGCCCCTTATTTGGCTACTTTGACAGAATGTTTTTCCGAATATTTGCATTTGCCAGGTTAATAGCTCCCAAGTAGGTGAGGCACTGCTAATCCAGGATGCCTCAGTAGTGATGTTGCCCATGATCCTGGTTTGTGGGAGGGAAGAGCAGTGACGCTCTGCACTGGACAGTGAGAAGCCCTGGATCGGTGTTTAGGACCGCAGCCTTGGGGATTAGGATGCAGCTTCCTTGGCCCAGGCTGTGAGGTGCCCTCGAGCTTTCCTTTGGAAGGATCCTCTCCTGGGAGTCAGATGGCTTTTAATTTTAGCCCCGAGCCTTCCCTTTATTTGCCTCCTCAGCTTGAATGAGATGACGTAAACATTCTTGTACAGTCAGCATTCCGTATCCATGTGTTCCACATCCATTGATTCAACCAGCTGTGGGTCAAAAACATTTGGGAAAAAATATTGGTTATATCTGTACTGAACATGTACAGGCTTTCCTTGTTATTCCATTATCAAGACAGTATGACAGCTATTCATGCAGTGTTTACATTGTATTAGGTATTATAAATAATCCAGAAAATGATTTGAAGTATATAGGAGAATGTGCAAAGGCCGGGTGCAAATGCTACCCTGGTTTATGTAAGAGACGTGAGCATTTGTAGATTTGGGTGTCTCGGGGGTCCTGAACCTGCAGTCCTCGTCGGGTACTGAGGTTGACTGTATTTCTACTTCTAAACTGGTAATATGGCTTACTCTCATCTTGCAGTCCCAAGGAAGATACTGTATGAGAAAGATAAAAGAGCTTTGTAGACTAAGAGTGACTCCATGAGAAAAGAAGTCAAATCTGTTGACTACTAATGTTTATCACCTACCACCCTCTTTAAAAATATCTCCCATCTTCCTTTCCTACAAACGGAACCTCCTGCAGCCCTAATACCAAAATGGTGAGATTCAAGAAGGGAGACAGTGTGGGCCTCCGGTTGGCTGGTGGCAATGACGTCGGGATATTTGTTGCTGGCATTCAAGAGGGTACCTCAGCGGAACAGGAGGGACTTCAAGAAGGAGATCAGATTCTGAAGGTAAGGGAAGGCCAGCCCCATTTCTGGAAGCGACTTGGACAGAGTGGGCCTTTCTGGATCCTTTCCCATTATGGAGAAGATTGTCCCCCTTGTGAAAACAGATCAGCAGCAGGTTTCTTGTGGCCTGGCATTAAAGTCACTCTGTCACTTGAATGAAGCTTGTTTTCTCAGTACTTGAGCCAAAACCTCTTCCCTGTGTCTGGAAATTCATGTTTAAAATGCTTACCAAGATTTTTATTAGTTTGATCATCAAAACAATTGAGCCTAATTGTTGTGCTTACAAGAAAGAACTTTCAAAAAATCTTGCTGGAGCCCACAGATGGCATAGCCATTAAGGTGCTAGATTCCCATATGGCCGACTGCAATTCGAGACCTGGACCTGGCAGCTTGAAACTCACTCCAGGCACATGTGCAAGTGTGCCCCAAATCCTGCAAGTGGAATCAAGAAGGGATTGTGGCATTGCAATCTTCCTGGGGGGGGGCGGTGATTCTCTCTCTCTCTGTCTCTCTCTCTGTCTCTTTCTCTCTCCAGTGAGCTCATGTGCCTTATAGCAAAAATGTTAAAAAAAAATCTTGCTAATTTTTGTGTTTTCCCTGCCTGGTGTCACTCTGAAGTCAGTGCCCAGTAATTGAACAAGGGTGGAAGCTGGTGTTAGACCTTGTGATTTGAATTCTGTTCCAGTCTCTCATTAGTCCTGTGACCCTGGCTCACCCTGAGACTCAGATTTCTGTACCTATTCAATGGGGATGAGAATACTTGCCTGTCTGGTCCCTGGGGAGATGAGAATAGGTAACACACAACTTGGCCCCTAGGTGAGTTTGTGGGACAGAAGAGGAAGGTACATGCCCATTTTACAGGGGGTCTCCAGAACATTTCATGGAAAATGTGTTCTACAAAAAAGCTGTGCGTGGATTTAACTTTTTTTTTTTTTGCACCAAAATAAGTTTATACTTTAATTCTCTTTTTCCACAAGATTTTTTTTTAAAAGCTTTGCTGTCAGTGTGTGTACTCGCTAAAGAGAGACAGAGAAAATGAGAAATCACCCCTCTGAGGGATGGTCACACCGCAATCCCTTCTCCATTTTCCTCTGAGGATTTTGGGCACCTGGGACTCAAATAGCCCCGTCAACCCTGTGAGATCTATCTGCCTTAATATTCACGCCCCCTACTGGCCCCCACAAACTTTTTGAAGTACTCTGTATTTCCTGATTGGAAGATAACAAAGAACTGTCACTCAGTTTGTTAACTATATCTGAAATTGTCTAGGAAAGGGGATTTCTATTTAAGCAAATGGTTCCTTTAAAAAATTAGCATATGTATGTATGTATATATAAACTATTGGTGATAAAGTATTTAAGATGAAGACTTCCACATTTTTTGAGATACATATAATGGATTTTGTATTGATGTCAGAATAACTTCAAGAAAGTCAGGTACCTCTTAATCATAAAAATACAGAAGGCAAGGGAATGTCTTTATTAGAATTTCTGTCTGCCTCTGTAAACTTGCGGTTTTTACACATGAGATTTTCCTTCTTAGCATTAGTGGAAAAATCCTACAATCAGCTAGGGATCCCTGGAAAGAGCTTCTAGGCATAAAGGAGAGGGAAGGACAAAGTCGCAGAATTCCCGAGGAAACAGGCAGTAAGATACAAACAGGCAGACTCTTCCTTCTTGGCGCTTGGCCCCATGGCGGTAGTTCAGATTTCATTTCTAGAACAGATGAAGGGCAAGCCTTGATCATGAGCTTTGCCGAAGCTTTCCAGTGAAATTCTAGACCCTCCTTGGCTCTGGTTGGGATCCTAGAAGACTGAGTGTACCTGAGTGAACCTCGTGGTACCACATGATCCTAGGAAATACCACTCACCAAATGCTGCTGATAAAAATCCCAGCTGAGCGCCAGCTCATGCCAGTTTGCTCTTGGCAAATATGCTGATGAAGAAAAGGCAAACTTCCTAACTCGGGGGAGGCCTTAGAAGCCAGCTAGAAATAGAAAATTTTGCTCAATAAGACTCAAGGATAAAATGTTTTTAATTTTTTTTTTTTTGGAGAGATTTTTGCTATAGGGCACGTGCGCTCGCCAGACAGACAGAGAGAGACATAGAGACAGAAAGCGAGAAATCACCCCCCAGGGGGGATGGTCACGCCGCAATCCCTTCTCCTCCATTCTCCTCTTGGGATCTTGGGCACGCACGCACACGTGCCCAGCATGAGTTTTAAGCCACCGGGTCCAGGATGTGAACCGCGGTCGACTACGTGGGAGTCCAGCAACATAGCCATTACGCTAACTGCTGGTTCCCTAGGATAAAATGTTTTTAATACCATGGGGTGGAAGATTTTCTAAGTTTTTATAAGGAAAAGTAGTGAATTTGCTATGGGTTTGGCAGTCAGACCTTTCTGTAAGTTGTTCCAACCAGGGAGATTGGCTTCCTTGGGTAGAAAGTTGTAGTACTCAGTGTTTAGACTTAAGTCTTGTTTTCTGTTCTCACCCTGGGGACAAGGAAGAAGCTGGGGGAGCTGACTCCTTTTGCAATTGCCCCACGTGGGGGTTCAACAATAGGTGGCCCACGCTCTTGGGTGCAAATACAGTTTGCATTGATTGCAGAGGAGCCCTCCGTTCGCACCAGGGCAGAGAAGCTACTGCACGACCGTAAGCCATAGTGATACGGAGTCCTCTCAGGCTCATAGCGGACATGGCTAGACCCTGTAGATGACTAAATAGCTAATGAAAGAGGCTATGTGCTGGATAGGGTGTAAGTCCAACCTTCAAGCACAGAAGTGATACCTGGGCTTTTTTCACTTTAATTGATTTCAGTGCTCCTTTTCTTGGCCAACTATTTGAAGTGAAACTATGTACATATACCAGTCATGGGGGCGGGGCGTTTAGGGACAGTTCTTTATTTTGTAAAGGGGACAACGTGGCATGTGGAATGAAAGCGTGAGTGTGTTGTAGCAGAACGCTTGCCTTGTCAGTAACACACACATGTTTGTGTTTAGTCATACTTGGCTCATTTATCCTTCTGGTTAATATTTCTTTGGACCTTTATTTCTTTCAGGAGCGTTTATGGGATAGAAAATTTTTTTTTTTTTTTTTTGAGAGGTTTTTGCTATAGGGCGCGTGCGCTCGCCAGATAGAGACATAGAGACAGAAAGTGAGAAATCACCCCCCAGGGGGGATGGTCACGCCGCAATCCCTTCCCCTCCATTCTCCTCTCGGGATCTTGGGCACACACACACACACGCCCGGTGTGAGTTTTAAGCCACCAGGTCTGGGACGTGAACCGTGGTCGACTACGTGGGAGTCCAGCGACACAGCCATTACACTAACTGCTGGTTCCCTTAGAAAAGATTTTTAAAAAGATTTCTAAAGTTACTAGCCATGTGGAATTTTGAAGTGTAGTTACCACTTGGGCTTTCATTTTGGTCATCCCAGTTTTTGGTTTGATTGAAGGTTAGTCATACATGGCCAAAGAGACAGACAGGGGGACTCCCGAGGTCCTCCCCCAGCCTACGGCTCTGGGTTTAAACAAATAAATATAAGCGTGTACATTTTATATAAAAACATCCACGTGGCCATCTGTGAATCACGTGGTGTTATACCAATGGCACAAGAAAAGGTTAGAGTGCGACAGTCCCTAATTGGTGGATGGAGAGGTGGAAAGGACACCACCTTAAATGAGAAATGTTGTTTCCAGGGGAAAGTTAACATGAATGCTTTAGCAAATCACTTTATTTCATTTGTTTAGTTCATGATAGAGTGCGTGTGTGTGAAAGAGAGAAACAGATATGCTCTACAGGGTCTAGTCATGCCACTGTCCCGTTCCTCCAGTCCTCTAGCCGGTCAGGTCTTGGGCAGTGGCGTGTGTGCCTGACAGGTGTTTCAGGCTGACTGGGCTGGGAATTTGAATCATTGTCACCCTCTGGGATCCTGCTTCTCTTGAGCAGCACATTACTGCTGTGCTACAGATTCAGCCCAAATCACTTTGATTTTAAAATAACAAGTACATTTTAGTGCAATACAGTATAACTTCACTTGTTCATAAATGTTGGCCTTAATTATGGCTCAGGTAGTAATAGATTTATCAGTAATAAAACATTTCTCTTGTGATGAAAAGGATTCTACATTTCTTAATGGCCAGAAAAAAATGTATAGAAATTATGTATCTTGGGGCCAGCAGGTGGCATGGTGGTTAAAGTGCTGGATTCCCACATGGCTGACCATGGTTTGAGTCCCAAACCTAGTAACTGGCTTGCTCACTTTCCATCTCTCTCTGATAAATTAATAACAATAGTAAAATAAATAATTCTTTTTTAAAAAAAATTATGTATATTTCTTATTTCTACCATGTTGTTAGAACATTGGGTACTTTAAAATGATTTTTACATTTTGCTTGTTTGTAATTATTCTGTATTAAAACAGTTTTAAAGGTACAGAATCATGATTTTTAAATGTCTTTTTTTTGGTGCTACATTTTAATCTTTTCCTTTTTAAAAATGTTTTTGCCATCTGTATTTATTTTATTTATATATTCATTCATTCATTCATTTATTTTTAAGGTTTTTGACATAGGGAGTGTACACTTGCCAGAGAAAGAGAAAAACAGTAAGAAATCACCCTCCAGGAGGGATGGCTACACCACAGTCCTTCCTCCTCTATTCTCCTCTCTGGGGTTTGGGCATGCACACACACAAGCTGGGTGTGATTTTTCAAGCCACCAAGTTTGAGTCTCAAACCATGGTTAGCCATGAGGGAACCCACTACCCTAACCACCACACCACCTGCTGGCCCCAATTTTACTCACTTTCTGATTTATCTGTCAAAAGCAATTTTAGTGTCCCCTGTTTAATTATTGGGGAATAACCGTTGTGAACTCCTTGCCAGAAAATGGTCAGAAGCTTAAATATATAAAGTTATATATTAGCCTAATGATCTGCCATATTAGTATTTAGTTTCATAAACACATGTAAACACTTTCAGAAGCTATAAGAGAAAGGTAGAATTGGTCAAAACCCTTATAGGCATACCTTTATTTGAACCATTTTAAAGACAGCATGAATGGGGGTCAGTACATGGTGTAGTGGTTACGTTGTTGGACTCCTACATGCTGAATGCAGTTTGAGTCTCAGGTCCAGCAGCTTGAAAATCATGCTGGGTACATGTTTGTGTGTGCCTAAGATCCTGGGAGGAGAATGGAGGAGAAGGGATTGCGGCATGACCATCCCCTCTCGGGGGGTGATTTCTCACTTTTTCTCTCACTGTTTTTCTCTCTCTCTTCTCAGCAAGCACACACGCCCTAAGGCAAAAATTTCTTTAACAAAACCAGCATGAATGGTGGGCCAGCGTGCCTGCTCACCGCAGATGCCCCCACTCTCTGTTACTTTATAGTTGCCTGTTTTGTACATGTATAGGACCTTTCTGGCTACCTCTAGGGAAAATTCAGAGAGAGGCCGTTGCAACCTTGGGAGGTTCTACCTGGTGATAAATTCTCGAGTGAATGGTATACCCCTCGGGGTGGTGGTATGTGAGGAGGCAGGAGCTGTACTGATGCCCACTGCCCAGGCCTATAGTAAGGTGCTGGGAGAGCTTGAGTAGAGATACTGAGGACGTCTTTACATCACGATTTTGCCCTGGCCCTGATGAAGACAGTCAGAAAGTTCAGGTTGGCACCGTACTATAAACTTCTTTTTTGTTTTTCCCTCCCATTTTCCTTTCTTACCAGGTGAACACACAGGATTTCAGAGGTCTGGTTCGGGAGGATGCTGTTCTCTACCTATTAGAAATCCCCAAAGGTGACATGGTGACCATTTTAGCTCAGAGCCGAGCTGATGGTGAGCAAGTTTGATTATTTAATTTTGTTGAAGGGAATGGGAAGGATGAGAGGTGTGTTAGGACCAAAATAAACTAATCTGGGTCTTAAAAAGTGAAAGTGGATCTTGACCCCTAATACCTGGGTCATATGTGTGAGAGATTGGCACTTTCTATAAAAATGTTTTTGATGCATGCACTGGAATACTTTCACTAGTTGTATCAACTTAAAGTGGGGAGTTGGTAGTATCCCCCTGTCTCCTTCAGACAGCTGAGCTGTATTAACGTTCTCCAGAGAAACAGACTCGTAGGAAATGCTGGAACCCACAGGAGATAGATTTATTCTAAGGAATTGGGTTAGAAGGCCGACAAGTCTCCAGGTCTGTGGGGGGACTCGGCAAGCTGGGGACCCAGGAGAGCCAGTGCTTTAGTTCTTGTCTCGTTTCAAAGGTCTGAGAACCCAGAGAGCTGATGGTGTAGTTCAGTATGAAGGCAGGAAGAAAGCTGGTATCCCAGTGTGAGTGCCGTCAGGCACTGAGTGGGTCTGTCTTACTCTGCTCTACTCTTTGTTCTGTTCTGGCCTTCAGCTGATTGAGTGAGGCTCACCCAGATTAGGGAAGACCATATCCTTTACTCAGTTCAACCCATTTAAATGTTAAGCTCACCAAAAACACTTTCCAGAATTATCCAGAATAAAATTTGACCAAATATCTGGGGACCCCATGACCCGGTCATGTTGATGCATGAAATTAACCATCGCAACAGCTCATGAGGTTAGTTCTTTGTTCCTCCTGTTGGGGCTGATTGCCATAGGGTCTGTGCCCCGAGTTCACTGAATGGCGAGAAGATAAGGGGCCATGCAAGGTTGGAAAAGCTGGTTATTTAAGAAAAGGTCTTTACTAAACCAAGTGCAGCAACCAGTGATTTTGTCTTTCAGTGTACAGAGACATTCTGGCTTGTGGCAGAGGGGATTCGTTTTTCATAAGAAGCCACTTTGAATGTGAGAAGGAAACTCCACAGAGCCTGGCCTTCACCCGAGGGGAGGTCTTCCGGGTGGTCGACACTCTGTATGATGGCAAGTTGGGCCACTGGCTGGCTGTGAGGATCGGGAACGAATTGGAGAAAGGCTTAATCCCTAACAAAAGCAGGTACCCCTTTTCATTCCCCCCGAAAGGAAACTCCACATGACTCTCTAATGCATCATCCTCTACGTCTTGTTCAGGCAGAGTGGCCCGGGAGTGTAAATAGCCACCAGCTGGTTTGCTTTGCTGTATTTAGCATCTCATGGTTAGCCATTGGGTTTGGCTGTGTTTGATCAGTTTCCTAAGGAGCGTCCGCTGCCTGGCACTATAGCCGGTGAGGGAGATGCTGAGTGGCCATGGCACACTACGCACCTGCTAGAGATAAGTCACCTTACTGTGCCCAGTTCTCCTCCGTGTGCAGGCCTGTGCATTGCTGTGAGCACTTGGTGGTAGACTGACTGTGCAGGAATCTAGACGAGGTACTTAATTTTAGCAGGAGTTCCTGGTGTGTTTACTGTATACCTAAATCCCAGAAGTAGCCAAAGTCAGCCTGTTTGTTACTGTGCTACTTGAGGGAGGATTTCATAGAGGCCCAGTCTTTTTCTGCCTCTATGTAGAAGTGATGATATTTCATTTTCTTAAGCATTATTTAATTTTATTATTATTATTATTATTTTAATTTGCTGTAGGGCATGTGCACTTACCAGAGAGGTGGGGGAGGGAAAATAAGTCCAGGTCTGGGACTCAAACCATAGTCTGCCATTTGGGATCCAGTGCTTTCACCACCATACCACCTGCTGGCCCCTGCAAGTGGTGGTCTTCACATTTCCCACATCTTTATTGTCCAGCTGAATCTTTTTTAATCCATGTTTTTTCTGTTTTGTTTTGTTTTTGGTTTATAACTTTATTTGAAAACCAGCAGTTAGTTCTCATCCACATTGACTGCAGATTTTTTAAAGTGGTAACAGGTACATAGGTCACCAGAGTGTAGAGCTTGTTGGGTGAATCTTCATCCTCGCTAACGTTTTCTGTATAAGTGCACATGGGTACAATACGGGACATTCCTTATTCCTTTGGCCCAGACAACTTTATTGAGCCTGGTATCCATGCACACATCTGGAGGCCCCATCTCCTTCATGGCAAATTTCCGGATTTCACGTTTCTTAAGGCCCACACCATGGATGCGCTTGTGAATGTTGATGGGGTCACCACCTCGTTGATGGCAGGACAGCCCTTCTCCTCACCACCCTCCTTTGAAAGACCTTAATCCATGTTCTTAAGTAAAATTGACTAGATTTCACGAATGACGCACACATACTCTGTGTTTTCTGGCTTTAGAGATTTATTTCCTGTGGTTTCTTTTCTCAGAGCTGAACAAATGGCCAGTGTTCAGAATGCCCAGAGAGACAACGCTGGGGACAGGGCAGATTTCTGGAGAATGCGTGGCCAGAGGTCCGGGATGAAGAAGAACCTAAGGAAGAGTCGGGAGGACCTAACAGCTATTGTGTCTGTGAGCACCAAGTTCCCGGCTTATGAGAGGGTTTTGCTGCGAGAAGGTGAGGAAGCTGCGTGGTGCCAGGAACCGACAGGCTGGGCTCTCAGACTGTTTTCTTTCATTTTCAGAATGGGATGGTTAGGTTCTAACTTACCTACATCACTTAGGTCAAAGGCAGCTTATAGAGTTGGAAACTTATTCTAACAAGGAGCATGACTTAGGAAAAAGTGGGCTGTTTGAACTCTTAAATAGTTCCAGTCTTTAAAAAACAACAACAACAACAACAAAAAAGAAAACCTTTAATACCAGCATTCAGAAGTTTCAGTGTATGATCCACAGCCAAGTTTATCTTTAAAGATGGTGAGGGTGGTGAAGGCATATCCTTTAAGAAAGAGCTGGGCTGCAGGGGGAATAGGAGAATGCACAATGTCTTTTGTTTAATTGTGTTATTATCACAAGCCTGTGCAGTACTTTCTGCTTTTCTTAACAGCTAGCCAAGCGTGTGCGTTTCAGTGGCCTTTCTTGTCTCTTTTCAGCTGGATTCAAGAGACCTGTGGTTTTATTTGGCCCCATAGCGGATATAGCAATGGAAAAGTTGGCAAATGAGTTACCTGATTGGTTTCAAACTGCTAGTAAGTCTGTCAGTGATGTTTCTTCCTCCCCAGATTTTCATTTTGAAAAATTGTTAGCATGTTGAACGAATAATGAACATGTATATACTCTTCAACTGGATTCAGCGGTTGTCAGCATTTTGCCACATGTGCTTTCTGTCCTCAGCTCCCTGCCGAGAGAGACAGATGAACAGACACACACACACAAACACTTTAAAG